TTCCGTACATCATCGCGAGGAAGTATCACTTTGTCACAGGATTATGGTGAGGATAATTATAAAGTCTGTCGCATGGTGAGTCGACACGTCACAAATGAAAGAATTAAGTCGCACGCTGTTTCGTTTATCGTAACTTACACTTCCAAATTGCCTAAACGTAACCACCTAATATGCACACAAAACGCTGTAGTTGGTAGATTAGTTGGGCAGTAAGTATTTTTGGCGATACGGAGTGACAGAAATACTGGTGAACACAGCAAGAAATGCCTAGTATTTTGGACCAAGTTGCTTTGGTTGTACAGCGTGAGAGCGAGAGAGGTTTCGAAAGTACGTGCATCCGCTGACTTGTGACCAAAGGGGTTTCCCACAACTGATGTGAACTTGTACTCCGATTTATATCACGTGGTTCTGACTCTTCCAGAGAATTCTCTGATAAGACACGGAAATATGAACCTCCTAGTAGTGCAAGTGGTTTTGCGCTGAAAGGATACCTATTTCCGCGTCCTAAACATAATACTTGCACCAACTCAATACTTAGACCTAATCCTATACTTAACCTGGCCCTAGCCTTAGCTCTAACCATGATCTCCATGTGATTTAGCGCAAACGCATCTCTTTTACCGGAGAATGGGGGGGGGGGGGATGTTCCAAGTCCCCTGTCACACCCACTCATCCTATCTAGCTGAAACCATTTGTATAGGCTCTAAAAGTTCACCAGTCCAATATTTCGGTCGTTGGGGCTCAGAAGAAGGTTCACGTCTGTGGCTCTATTTGAAGGTGGAATGCTCTTTCTTCGAAGTACGATACATTTACAAGCAGAAAATTGTGAACGGACGAATGAGTTAAGGGTTATCCGGTGGCATATTTGAGTCCACAAACGTACATTTCTTAAAGACACAATCACCCCCAAGGTTGCTTAATATATGAATTTTCTGGTTTTCTCCCAACGACTTTTTATATATCAAAGTTTACGCTATCTTACTAGGCAGCGCGTTCGGCCAACTAAAGAACTTGGCTCAATTTGCTCACCTCCACTCTTGATCTCCGAAAAAATGCAATCATGTTAAATAACATGCGTATTTTTGTGACCTTTAGTAGCTGGGGGTAGCATCCCAAGTTTCCACAGACAGTAGCGCAGAGGCAAACATTACGCACTTACGAGAAAAAAAACAAAAATGACATGTTGACTGTAAGAGTCATCGGTAATTCGTCCTGTCAGGTTGTCCGGGCGTGGCTCCTGCAGACCTCATTCCCTTCTACCGCAGGGCAAACGCATATAATTTCACCTTTTGTATCTCTCCGCAATTACTCATAATGATATTACATAAAACGACTAGGAACTCTCTGTTATTCCGGCTGCCCACGAGGTACGGCAGTCAATCCACAGACGTTTGACAATTGAAAGATTGTTTTAAATTTGCGAAAATTCCCATTCAGAAGAGCATTTGGCGAGTTTGCGCACGCTTTCGATAAATTCTCACCGGGTCTGTACATTTATATGGGAGCGAGGTGCAAACTGAACATGTGAGTGATAAGTGCAATCGACTACGGTTCGTTCTTTCATACAAATGGGGTATGTGAATAGAGTGGGGGGAGGGGGGAGAGGAGAGAAGGCAGTCAGTGACCGAAGAGGGTTAGGTTGAGCCGTGTCACAAGGTGGGAAGGGAGGGACGGGGGCGGGGACGCGGAGATCTGCCTACAGTTAGTCGATCCCGGCCCACAGTAGGCGAGGGGCGTGCAATAGGTTCTTCCGCGCGCAAAGGGCCGACCTCTGTAGCCTGGTGGCAGTTGCGCCCACATACTTGATCATCGTGCTTATGCTTTGCCAATTGAGTACTGAATATGCTGTCGGTATTTTGCGTTTGGGAATACTTGAGGTCACCTCGAAGAGATGTACAGCGCACTGACCGGATTGCAGGACGGAAGCCAACGCTCCGTTTTACCCCGAGACTCCGATCTGGGCCCCTCGATGATGGAATAGAGATGACCAATGAGTAACCTGGAGATATGGTCAAAAATGGAAAAGGGGTTGGGCAGGATATTTCCTGGCTTATTTTCTGTCCCCAGCCGACGTCACAAAGGTGTCTAAACTTTCAACTGGCTGTTCCTACGCTTTGCTTATGGTTTTTGAAACACTTGTTTTCCTCATTACTGTCCATGCAGAACTGATCGCTGACTGATAAGGATGTGGGACTCCAAGGGTCTCAGCCTTGCGACTCAGCCGACAGTACTATAATACCGCCTTGCAATTGGATTTTACCGAAACATTCGGACCGTTTTGTGAGTATGTAAACCCTGTTTTGGCAAAACTGATTCCTCCGAGTAGTCAAGTTCTTATTATTTCCTTATTCAACTTGCGATACTTCAGTCAAAAACAAATGCATGCTATGGTTCAAGCTGCTTGGGACGCCACTACACTAAACGATGACCGATTACTCGGGACTAAGGAACCAATGTTGCGTGCCCGGAAAACTTTCAGATATTTGGGAAGACCTCTCATGTTGCTGTGAATCCAGTCGATATCTGATAATATCTGCTTTCCTAG